GACTCTTTGGAAAAAAACAATAATGCTAGGAAAGGTGGAGGGAAGTAGAAATAGCTATAAACTTACCTATAAGCACCTCTATAAGCTTACCTGAGTTTTACAATCTTTGGGCCGAGGCTTTCTCTCAGTCCCACCACCACCATCATAGATACAGTTGATGAAAACAGGAGTGAGCCTTCTTGGTGGCTGCTCTGACTATGAAACCCTCTGCCAACATTGATCCTACTCTCTTTTCACCAGCAGGAAAAGACCTTTATTTTTAAACAGGCCTTCCACTTTTAATTGGTTGAGGCAGTACAACAGGTGTGTTTGTTCTTAATGTGCAAGGTAGTTTTAATGTGCTTTTAACTGTTTTAGATTTATTATTATTATTATTATTATTATTATTATTATTATTATTATTATTATTATTATTATTATATTTTCTATCCCGCCTTTCTCCCGATATAGGGACTCAAGGCAGCGAGCAACAAGTATAAAGCAATACAATTTTAAAACAGTACAACAATATTAAAATATATAAATATAAAATTTAAAAAACAATTAAATGATTTTAAGAGTTAAAACAGTTATAACATGTTAAAATACAAACCATTAAAATTTTTATTGCACAACATTTAAAACTTAGCCCTTATCAGCTTAAAAGGCCTGATTGCACAAAAACGTCTTTACCTGACACCGGAAGGATAGCAGGGATGGCACCATCCTGGCCTCTCTAATGTTTTTAAGTTAAGTTTTTAAATTAATGTTTTTAAGTGGATTGTGGCTGTCTTTTTGTGGTGCAGGAATCTATCCTTATTCTTCCCTTGTTATTTCTGCCTCTGGTACCAAATTTTATTTTTAATGAAGTATTGCACATGCTCATGTATAAGAGTAGAAATTTTAGTCAAAACTTGACCACAAAAACCTTGGTTGACTTATTCACAGGTCAATCCCTGCCTCTGAGAAGAGTGGTGAAAGGCAAGAGTTCAGTCTGCTCTGGAAGCACCTAAAAGAAACACTGATCTGCTCTACTCTCTCCATTGTAGTGCCACATCTGACCTTTTTGAGTGCCTTGGCAGGAAAATGGCAGCAGTGGCAGCTCTTTGGCACTTCCCTTCAAAGGAGTGCCAAGAAGAATTAGGATTTGAATAAAACATGTGCGTGTTTGTCAGATATTCTGAGTTAAAATCAGGCAAAGTTATCACATTAAAGTTAAAAGCTATAACCACTGCTAACATTTGCTTTGCTTTGCCTTTTCATCCTCCTTGACATGTGCAAATTTTCTTAGCCCTATCCACGCCTGATCATCTTCCCCACACGTTGCACAGCCACCATTTATGGTAGTTCCCTCCTCATCCATTCAGCTTTTAGGGTGATGAACACAGTCATGCCTACTGGCATTTTGTAAGTTCTTTGGCACTGTTTTCCTTTGCTTCTTCCTTTACATCCTTTGTTATATTCCCCCAGGTTTTACCCTTGATTTTTCCACAGGCCATATCAAAATCCGTAATTTTGTCCCCAAAACCTGCCCTCAACTTATTCATTACGTTGATCAATAATTGTGTTTGCGTTAATTTTTGTATTTCAGTCTGGGCATTGGGCCCTAAGTGGAAGAAAACCAGGGCTTAAATAAAATAAATGTAGCCATGTATTTGTGTAATTCCCCTTTTATAGCCATTCAGGTTGATGGCCAGTAGTATACCTTGTGATAGCATATTCCACAGTTTGATGGTGCACTTGGTGACAATGTAATTTATTAAATATTAATGTTCTTCCCTATAGCATGAGATCTCAGAGTAGTGTCCAAATAAAATCAATATAAACAAATTAAAACAATAAAAATAATTTAAATAGACTAAAAGCATAGCAAGCATCTTAACAAGTTGGGTTAAAACAGTTTAAAAGCATCTGCATAACCATTTTAGAGTGAATTCTTTAGGCCCCAAAAGCTTTAACAGTCATGACTTTACTTGATGCCCTCGGAGTGTAGTGGAGTCTCCTTCACTATAACTTGTATCAAAGCTTGTTATTATACTTTCTCTTGGTTACATATAAACAACCCAATTCCCTTTTAATATTTCAACCACACAGGCTAGCAATATCCCTCAGGATATAA